ACAGCCTTGTCTGGTTCCTGATTTCAATGGGAATGCTTCCAGTTTTTCTCCATTTAGAATGTTGTTGGCTGTGGGTTTGTTATATATGGCTTTAATTATGTTCAGGTATGTTCCCTCCAGTCCAATTGTCTCTACAACTTTGAACATGAATGCATGCTGAATTTTGTCAAAGGCCTTCTCTGCATCTATTGAGATGACCATGTGGTTCTTGTCTTTGAGCCCATTTATATGATTTATGACGTTTATTGACTTACGTATATTGAACCATCCCTGCATCTCTGGGATAAAGCCGACTTGATATGGTGGATAATCTTTTTGATGTGTGTGTCTGTGTGTGGTTTGCAAGTATCTTGTTGAGAATTTTTGCATCTATAAAACATACTAATTATTTTTAAATGGTGAATTTTTATAGACAAATAAGTCTATTACTAACTGGCATTTTTTTTTTTGCCTCTTTTGGTACTACCTAACTGATTTGTTTTAACTTTAGGTTTTGGTGGTGCTATTGATGAACCCGAAGGTCTCTTGCAAACATTCTACCTCTGAGCTATACACCAGCTGTTTTAACTTTAATAGGCATATATTTAACAGTTTAGATAATCTCTCAGTGAAATGTAGTTACCATATTTACATCGATTTCACCAACTACTAAGAAAGAAAGAAACTGTCGTTATGACATTCCATTCTTATAAGTATTGATTATATTTAACTCCGTCCATCTTTTCTCTTCCTTCCCTCTAGTTTGAAATTGGCACAATGGAGGAAGCTGGAATTTGTGGGCTAGGGGTGAAAGCAGACATGTTGTGTAGCTCTTCTTCAGCAAATGATATTCTTCAACATCAAGACTCCAGCTGTGGTGGCACAACTAAGAAGCATTCGCTGGAAGGGGATGAAGGAAGTGACTTTATAACAAAGAACAGAAATTTGGTGAGCTCAGCATTCTGTACACCGGAGTCAAGAGAAGAAATTCCTGGGCGAGAAACTCGAACTGGTCCCCCTGATAGCCAGCAGGATTCAGAATGCAGCAGGAACAAAGAGAAGACCTTAGGTAATCATTACATACTGTACATTTTATTGACATTGTTTGCAGCCCAGGTGACCATGAGCATGGGCAGTTTGGAGGTGCTCAGTTAAAACATTTGTTGTCTTTGTTCAGATCAGTCTGCTTGTCTGCTGCAGTTATGTACAGAAGATGGAAGTAACAGTAGGAAGCTTAGTTATTTCTTTCTAAAATAATCAACAATTAACTCTCTTGAAAAAATTTGGGCCTACTGACAGAAGTGGCATTTGACTTGTCATATTTGTATCTTTATAATATAGTCTGCTCAAAAACTGTGGTGAAAATTTTATAGATAATGTTACCTTTAGTACAGAAAGAGAGTTAATCAGTTATTTTTTTCTGTTTTGTTTTGTTTTGTTTGTTTTGGTCTTTTTGAGACAGGGTCTCCCTGTAGCCCCAGCTGACCTGGAACTCACTATGTAGACCAGATTGGACTTGAGATCCGTCTGCCTCTGCCTCCCAAGTGCTGTGACTAAAGGTGAGCGCCACAAAATGCCTGGCTGTTTTTTTCTTTTTTGTTGTGATTTAGACCAAGAATGTTATATGTAAATTCTTTTTGTCTTTTTGAGATAGGGTCTCCCCTATAGCCCCAGCTGTCTTGGAATTTGCTGTGCAGACCAGGTTGGCCTCAAACTCACAGAAATCCGCCTGCCTCTGCCTCCCAAGTACTGGGAATAAAGGCGTGCACCACAGTGCCCGGCTTATGTGAAATTTTTTTACTGTCCCTTTTTTATTTGTTCTTTTTTTTTTTTTTTTTTTGGGGTTTTTTTTTTTGCTTTTTTTTAAATTTTTTTTCTGTCCCTTTTTTTTTTTTTTTGGGGTTTTTTTTTTTGCTTTTTTTTAAATTTTTTTTCTGTCCCTTTTTTTTTTTTTTTGGGGTTTTTTTTTTTGCTTTTTTTTAAATTTTTTTTCTGTCCCTTTTTTTTTTTTTTTGGGGTTTTTTTTTTTGCTTTTTTTTAAATTTTTTTTCTGTCCCTTTTTTTTTTTTTTTGGGGTTTTTTTTTTTGCTTTTTTTTAAATTTTTTTTCTGTCCCTTTTTTTTTTTTTTTTTTTTTTTTTTTTTTTGGAGATCTAGTCTCTAGCTGTCTTTGAACTTGCTATGTAGACCAGGCTAGTCTTGAACTCATAGAGATCTACCTTCCTTCCTCTACCTCCTGAGTTCTGGGATTAAAGATGTACAGTACCATGCCCAGCTGCAACATTATTCTTTTTTTTTCTTTCTTTTCTTTTTGAGACAGGGTCTCCCTACAGATCCAGCTGGCCTTGAACTTGCTATGTAGACCAGGCTTGTCTTGAACTCACAGAGATCCGCCTGCCTCTGCCTCCCAAGTGCTGAGATTAAAGATGCCATGTGCGCCCAACATTATTCTTACTAGCCCAAAAGTGGAAAGAACACACATATCCATTATAATAAATGAGTAAATAAAGTATTGTCTATCCATATGGTGGAATATTAGCCATAGAAAGGAACAAAACATTGGGAAATTCTTCATTAATGACTCTAACAAAACATTTTGTGATGTAAAAAAGCCAGACACAAAAGGCTACACATTGACTGATTCCCTTTTATATGACATGTCCAGAATTACAAAATTTGTGGAGACAAAGTAGATTGGTTGCTGAGGTTGGGGGTGGATTATGAATGCAGGAGAATAAAGTGACTACTTATTGGGTATGGCTTTGTTTTCTGGGTGATAAAAATGTTCTACATAATTGTTGTACAACCTTTTGAATATCCTAAATTGTACACTTATTTTTTGCTGTGCTCTAGGGATAAATTGTGTATTTTGAAAGTGAATTTAGCTAGGTATAGATGTATCCCTGTAGTCCCAACTACTCTGGAGGCTGAGGCAGGAGGCTCTCTTGAGCTTAGGAGTTCAAGGCCAGCCTGGACAACATAGCAAGATCTCATCTCTAGAAACAAATAATTAGAATAAAAGTGAATTGTATAGTATGTAAGTTCTGTCTCACAAACAAAAGTTCTAGACTGCAAAAATAAAAAAAAATGAGTTTAAGAATTCTCTTAATGTTCTTACTGGGCTTGGGCTAAATGAGAAAAGGTTTTATTAATGCAGTTTTACATGAATAAAAAAGTTTTCTCCTTTTGTGGGGTGGGAGAGAAGGGGTCTTGCTCTGTTGGCCTGAACTCTTGGACTAAAGGGATCTTTACCTCAGCATTTCAAGTGAACGTAGACTTGAGCCACCTTGTTCAGATTCAAAAGTATTCTGTTTTGAAGTCAGCCTGTTTATTTCCTTCCAGTTACGATACCAAAGTCATTTTAAGATACATACTTCAATGAAATAGCTCCCATGTAAGAACATTTTAAAAGTATTTTATTATTTTTATTTTATGTGTATGCGTGTATTGCCTGCATGTAGGTAAGTGCACCTGTGTTGTGCAGTGTCCAAGGAGGACAGAAGAAGCTGTTGGATCCCCTGGAACTGGAGTTATGGACAGTTGTTAGCTGCCATGTGGGTGCTGGGATTCGAACCTGGGTCTTCTGCAAGAACAGCCAGTGTTCTTAACCGCTGAGCTATCTCTCTAGCCCCATAAGAATGAACATTTTTAAAACTGAAAATAATATCTGTCATCCAGCTTAAGAAATAAATTTAAGAGGCAGAGGCAGGCGGATCTGTGTGAGTTCGAGGCCAGCCTGGTTTACATAGTGAGTTCCAGGTCAGCTAGGGTTACAGAGAGACCCTGTCTCAAAAAGATACAAAAAAATAATTTTTAAAACATCACTAACTTGGAATAACTGTCCCCTCCTGTTTCAACTACTTGCTTTTCCCTGCCAAAGTCCTTAAAATACTATTAGGTTCTTTTCCCCCAGCAAAGAGTTATCTTTCTGTCTTTTTATTCGTAGTCACCTTGGTCAGCATCGGCAAATGCTTAGTAAATCACCAGAAAATTAGCTACTGGAGTTGCTCACAGGAAGAGGTGTCACCAGTGATCTATGCAACTGATACTCCTTTTGAACTTCTATATTTGAACTTGGTCAGAAGGAAGCTTTTAAAAATATTCTCTGCCCTTTGTCTTAGACGTCTAATGGTTAGGAAAGGGAATTTTTAAACTTTCAATAGAGTTCTTAGTTAACAATATTAGAGTGTAGAAATTTGGGATGGGGATGGAGGGAGGGAATAAAGGAAGGCATATTAATCCAGAACTTAAAAAGTAGCCCCCTACCTTGATGAGCATCAAACCTAGCACATGGTAGTCAATGTTCTACCATTTAACTACGTCCCAAATCCCTAAAATAGTTTGCTTTGTTTCGGTTTAGTTTTGTTTTTTTGCAAAAGGATTTGACTTTGGCTCAGGATCCTCTTGCCTTAAGTTCTTTTATTTAAATTTATAATTTTTATGTGTATGAATATAATGCCTGCATGTAGGTAGGTGCACCCGCATCATGCAGTGCCCGAGGTCAGAAGAGGACGTTGGATCTTCTGGAACTGGAGTTACAGATGGTTGTCAGCTACCATGTGAGTGCTGGGAATTGAACCCTGGTCTTCTGTAAGGACAACCAGTGCTCCTAACTGCTGAGCCATTTTTTATTTTTTTGTTTTTTTGGTCTTTTTGAGACAGCCCCAGCTGGCCTGGAACTCAGTATGGAGACCAGGCTGGCCTCAAACTCACAGAGATCCACCTGCCTCTGCCTCCTGAGTGCTGGGACTAAAAGGTGAGCTACCACGCCTGGCTTGCCTTCTTGAATGCTGGGATTATAGGTGTGAACCGCCATGCCCAAGTCAAAGTAGCTTTCATAATTGAGCTGGCAAATGTCATTTTTTCTAGTTGTAGGTCTGGACATCAGAACATGGGAACTGTTGGTAGATGTCACAGGTTAAATTTGATATTCTTATTTAGGACTTATTTCTTATCTTGTTACTCATCAGGAAAAGAAGTTTTATTACTGATGCAAGCGCTAAACACCCTTTCAACCCCAGAGGAGAAGCTGGCAGCTCTCTGTAAGAAATATGCTGATCTTGTGAGTATTAAATTAAAAGCGTGAGGGACGTATGAAATAAAGCTGAATATGTGTATATTTGACAAGCTTTCCAAAATGTACTTTCGATGTAGCTTAAAATGTAAAATTAGCTCGGCGTGGTGGCGCACACCTTTAATCCCAGCACTTGGGAGGCAGAGACAGGCGGATCTTTGTGAGTTCGAGGCCAACCCTGTCTACATAGTGAGTTCCAGGACAGCTGGGGCTACAAGGAGACCCTGTCTCAAAAAGACAAAAAAAAAATGTAAAATTATGTTTTATTAAAAAATTTATGGAGGCCGGGTGTGGTGACGCATGCCTTTAATCCCAGCACTCGGGAGGCAAAGGTAGGAGGAGTTCTGTGACTTCAAGGCCAGCCTGGTCTACACAGTGAGTTCCAGGCCAGCTGGTGCTACAATGAGACCATCTGAAAAAGACCAAAAAAAAAAAAATGATGGAGAGAATCTGATTTCTTGGGGCCTTTTGTTAAAATAATGTAAATATTATTTTTTATGTGTATGCATCTAGTTACATTATTTTGTCAGCTAATATGTAGAAAACATTACATGACTAAGCTGTGGTATAGACATTTTTTCTTTGGTTTTGAGATGGGGTCTGGTTTTATTATCCATGATGGTCTCCAATTCCTGGGCCCAAATGATCCTTCTGCATCAGTTTTCTGAATATCTGAAAATACAGGCATGTACCATCGTACCTGGCTGGCAAAGATTTTCTGAAACTTGGTTTAGAGTTCTTTCTTACTTAATTGATTAATTTATATTTTGTGTGTGTATATGTGCACATGCACCAAGCATGCATGAAACCCTGGGATCCACCCCCAGCACCACATAAGCCCATGAAGTGGTGTAGGCCTATGATCCCAGCACTTGGGAGGTGGATTAGGAATTCAAGGTTATGGTGAGTTTGAGACCAGCCTGAGATACAGGATACCTTGTTTCCAAAAAAAGAAGAAAAAGGAAAATTTAAGGTATTATTTACCTTTATTAATAGTCAAGTATTTTTCTAACCTTGGGTTAAGAAAAGATTTGTTTTTGTTGTTGACATAGTCTTGCCTATGTATCCTTGATACCAGGCTGCCTCTGAATCCTAAATTTTGAGATTATAGGTGGTAAGAAAGAGTGTGTGTGTGTGTGTGTGTGTGTGTGTGTGTGCGCGCGCTCTTGCAAGCTCTAGTGCAGGCCAGTGAAAGGGCATGCGATCTCTCCACCTAATAATGGTCTTTTACTGAACATGGAAGTAGGCTGGTGGCCAGCAAACCCTAAGTATTCTCCTGTCCTTCACTCCCTGCAACACAGAAGTTACAGATGTTCATACCTCCATGCCTGGCTTTTTATGTGGGTGCTAGGGATTTGAAGTCAGGTACTCCTACCCACTAAGTCATTGCCTCAGGTACTATCAAAGATTGCACAAATTGGCTGGATATAGTGGTGCATGCCTATAATTCCAGCATTTGGGAGGCTAAGGCAGGGGAATTGTAGTGAGTTAGAGGGCAGCTGGACTACAGAGTTAGACCCTGTCTCAAAAAAAAAAATTTCGTTTTGGGCTGATGGGATGGTTCAGTAGGTAAAGGTACTATTACATCAAGACTGATGACCTGAGTTCTATCCCAAGGACCCACATGGTAGAAGAAGAGAACCAAGTTGTACAACTTGGACTGTGGCACATGCACACACACATATATACACACACAATAAATTAAAAGAAAAAAAATTGCAGAAATTGACTTTATTGAAGTTAAGACATCTTTTCATCAGTAATACCTAATTAAAAGTGTCAAGCCTAGCAGTGCATGCCTATATTCACAGCTATTCAGGACGCTGAGGTAGGAGAATCATAAGTTCAAGGGCCATATAGGCAACTTAAGCGAGACCCTATCTCAAAAAGTAAAAAGAACTGGGGTTATATAGTTCAGTGATAGAACACTTGTTTTGCATGCACAGGGTCTTGGGTCCACAGCAATGCAAAATAAAAATAAATTTAAAAATGAAAGAACGCCCACAAACAAATATGAGGGACAAAAAACCCAGTGAAATCTGGGCAGAAAATTTGAAAAAGGTATTTCATAGAATTGGAAAACCAAGATTCCAAGTATAACTTAGCCTAAAGGTCCAGAAAAACATGTAGAAAAATTAACTTTATATAGTGATCAGAAAAATGCAGGTGAAGACCTCAATGAGATGCCATTTTATGTCTCCACCCCTGCCAAGGCCAGATCTCACTAGGTATCCCTGGCTGGCCTAAAACTTGCTATGTAGACCATACTGGCTCTAAATTCAGAGTTTTATGTCTTTTGTCTGGCATAAATTGAAAAGTGTGCCAGCCGTGGTGGCACACGCCTTTAATCCCAGCAGTTGGGATGCAGAGGCAGGCAGATCTCTGAGATCAAGGCCAGCCTGGTCTACATACTGAGTTACAGGCCAGCTGGGGCTACAGGGAAATCCTGTCTCAAAAAAAAAAAAAATCAACAACATAACAAGAAAAAGAAATGTAAACTTTTTATGACATAGAGAGGGCCCGGATTTGCATGATTTTTTTTTTTTTTTTCCACTCTTTAAAAAAAGATTAATTGGGGCTGGAGAGATGGCTCAGTGGTTTGAATCCCAGCACCCACATGGCAGCTAACAAGTGTCCGGAACTCCAGTTCCAGGGGATCCAACGGCCTCTTCTGTCTTCCGTGGGTATTGCATGACATGGGTGCACTTACCTACATGAGACAACACACTCATACACATAAAATAAAAATAATATTAAAAAAAGATTATGTTTATGTGTGTGGGGTTATTTTGTGTGTATGAGTGTATTGCCTGCATATGTGTAAGTGCAACTGTGTCTTGCAATGCCCGAGGAGGTTGGAAGAGGGCGTCACATCTCTTGGAACTGGAGTTATGGACAGTTGTTAGCTGGCAGCCAAACTGGGGTCCCCTGAAAGAGAAGCCAGTGCTGTTCTTAACACCTGAGCCCTCTCTCCAGCCCCTAGTATACTCTCTTAACTGCTGAGCTATCTCTTCAGCCCCAGTATGGTTTTAGTTTTTATAAAGACAGGGTCTTATTTGGCCCTGGGTGACCTCAAACTCACTATATTGCCAAGGATGACCTTGAACTCCTGATCCTCCTGCCTCCATCTCCTAAGCACTGGAATTGCAGGTGTGAGTCACCAGGCCTTGCGGCAAGGATGCTTTTGGTGTGTTTTAGTAGGCCACAAGATGGCACTCTTGCTCTTTATGACTCAGCATCATTTTCTTTTTAAGTAAAAGCTGTTCAGAAATGTTAGTAAGCTGCCATCTGATATGGTAGTGTTGATGTCACCTTGAAACAGACTCATTTGCTTCAATCCTAAAATTATAACAAGTCTTCTCTCAAAGAACCCGGAGTACTGGCTATTTAATAAGTTCTAAATTCAGTACTGTAGCCTGTGGGTGTTAACTTTAGAAAAATATAGTATTGATTCCTAAAACACCAGCTTTTTAACAAACATTTTTTAAAGATGTTAATTTTTATTTTATGCATATGAATGTTTGCCTGCATGTATGTGATTATGGAATGTTGGATAACTAATTTCTTGGGGCTGGTAATAGTTATATAAAATTTGGATAATAAAGTTGAACTTGGATCATGAAAGGTTCTGAAAATAAAGTATATCAAAAGGGCTGAACATAAGAAAGAGATTAAAGTCATGTCTTCTAGACTAAATTTGCATACTTTCCTTATAACTATGACAGTGAGGAGATTAGCAGTGTTATACAGCATGAAACAATTTGAATTAAACTGCTATACACCAGTATTGGGCTTTTTTCCCTCCCTTTTTTGGTGGTGCTAGGGATGGAACCCATTGTCTTACGTGTGCTAGGCAAGTGCTCTACCGCTGAACTCTACCTTTAGCTCTCAGGATTAGTCTTTATACACACACACACACACACACACACATTTTTAATATTTTAATTATGTATATATGTGTGTGGGGGGGTTATATACATGGGTGAAATGTCCATAGAAGTCAGGAGGCAGTGTTGGATTCCCTAGAGTTGGAGTTACAGGTGGTTGAGTCATCTGATGTGTGTGCTGGGCATGACACGTGGGTCCTCTTGCAAGAGAGAGCACCAAATGCTAACTGCTGAACCATCTCTCTAGCTCATTATTTGGTCTTTTGGAGACTATACAGGTCTTACCCTGGGTATGATGGCATATACCTATAATGTCAGAACTTAAGTTGGGGCAGGAGGATTAAGAGTTCTAAGCTTGCCTGGGCTACATAGTGAGACTTTGTCTCAAAAAAAAAAAATTGCAAAGCTCTTACTGTGATTCTTCGGCCATAACTGAGGCTCTTGAGGGTTTTGTTATGCTTCCTGAATTTAAAGTTCTTGGTGATTTTAGCTGGAGGAGAGCAGGAATGTTCAGAAGCAAATGAAGATTCTGCAGAAGAAGCAAGCCCAGATCGTGAAAGAGAAAGTTCATTTGCAGAGTGAACACAGCAAGGCCATCTTGGCAAGAAGTAAACTGGAGTCTCTTTGCAGGGAACTTCAGCGTCACAATAAGACCTTAAAGGTTAGTTGGTTTTTGTTTGTGTCTGTTTGAAATCTCTGTGTCTATATGGAGACAAGATACGACCCTCTTTCTGGTTTGCATGGGATGATGCTGTGCATGAGGTCAATGTAATGTGAAACTGACAACATTTTGTGTTTAAGCTTTCCTTTCCTGTTCAAAGAAGGGCTTTTAGTTCCCTTGTATTTGGTCATGGGGAGTCGATGTGGGACTGATAGTTATATTCCCTGTTCACTTGCTTAAGTTTGTGACTTAGAAAGCTCAGAGTTGCCAGTTTTCTACTGAGCACTAAGGTAGCTGTCATGAAATGAGAAACTAGTAAGACTTCAGTTAGTGAGTCTGAGAAGGGAGAACTGCTGAGCTCTTAGGTAGATATTAGGGCTGCAGTGCTCAAGTTCTTTGGCCCACCCCCAGCTACTGTTTGCTGAGTACTTTAAAAAAATTTTTTTTCTGGACAGGCGTGGTGGAGCATACCTTTAATCCCAGCACTTGGGAGGCAGAGGCAGGCGGATCTTTGTGAGTTCAAAGCCAGCCTGGTCTACATAGTGAGTTCCAGGACAGCTAGGACTACAAGGAGACCCTGTCTCAAAAAAAGACAAAAAAAAATTTTTTTATGTGTATGCATGTATTGCGTACATGTATGCAAGTGCACCCGTGTTGTGCAATGCCCAAGGAGATCAGAAGAGGGCACCGAATTCCCCTGGAACTGGAGTTATGGAGGGTTGTTAGCTGCCATGTGGGTGTTGGAATTCAAACCCAGGTCTTCTCCAAGAACAGCCAATGCTCCTAATTGCTGAGCCATCTCTCCAGTCCCTGCTGAGTACTTTTGACAGTGGTACTTAAACCATGGCTGATTATACAGGAAGCATGAGGAGGTACCCAAAGATGAATTGGTATCCATGGAAGAAAGAGCAGAGCCATGCAAGGAATCTGCCTTTTACAGGGCAACCAGCCTGGCCTTGGAATAATTGGGTAGGACTTTGAGCAAGACCTTTAAGCAAATGCCTCTCCCAACAAAATTCCTAGGTACAACAGCATTTAGTGAAACAGACCATCACCAGCTGTGTGAGCTGTCATTTTCTTCTTTGCTTTTGAATCCTTATTTTTTTAATTACTTTTTTTCTTTTTGAGACAGGGTCTCACTATGTAGTGAATATTTATGTTTAGATTTTAAAGTTGGTGGTAGCTGGGCCAAGCAGTGCACACTTGTAATCCCAGGTACTCAGGAGTTTTGAGGCAGGAGGATTGTGAGTTCAGGATCTGCCAGGGCTCTAGGGAAATTTCTGGGTCAGCCTGGGCAACTTAATGAGATCATCTCAAAATGGAAAACAAAAAGTGGACCGGGGATATAGCTTAGTGGTAGAGTATTTACTTGTCTGGCGTACTCAAGGCCTTGGTTTCAACCCTGTTTACCCCTCCTGTGTGCCCCCCCAAAAGTTAGGTGGTATTTTTTTCCCTGTAACAAATGATTTCAACTAATTGTTTAGACATATAAAGGACTCTTGATACTTAAAATAAACTTTAAAAAAATAAGGATATTTTTGGTCCCTGGTCCTTCCAGGAGTGGAGGGCATAACAGTAAACAATAGGAGGGGCTCTGTGTGGGAAAAGCAGGTTTGTTTGTTTATTTATTTATTTATTTATTTATTTATTTAATTTTATGTGTATGAGTGTATTGCCTGCATGTATGTGAGTGCGCCCGTGTCGTGTAATACTGCAGAGGTCAGAAGAGGGCTTCAGATTCCCCTGGAACTGGAGTTAAGAACCGTTATTCCCAGAACCATATGGGTGCTGGGAATTGAATCCAGGTCCTCTGCAAGAGCAGTCAGTGCTCTTAACCGCTGAGCCATCTCTCCAGCCCCAAGCAGTTTTTTTTTTTAATGAGAACTTTCTGGTCACGAATAAGGGGGAGAAACTAATTTAGAAGGACTATTAAATACATTGCAGCAACCTGTGTGTGTGTGTGTGTGTGTGTGTTAGTGTTTGTGTGTACCTGTTTTGTGTGGAGGGTATGGGTCTCTCACTGAACCTGGAAGTTGCTAATACAGCTACACTGGCTTGCCATTATGCTCCAGGGATCCTCCTCTCTGCATCCTCAGGGCTGGGCTTATAGACACAAGCTGCCATGCCCTACTTTCATGGGAGTGCTGGATGTTAGAACTCAGGTCCTCATGCTTGGGCAGCGACACTTTATCAACTAAACCATTTTCCCAGCCCCCTCTTTTTCTTGAGACAGAGTCTCACTAAGTTGCCCAGGTTGTTCTTAGACTCACTCTACAGCCCAGTCAGGGCATAAACTTGGGATCCTCCTGCCTCAGCCTCCCAAGTAGCTGGGATCACTGGCATGTGCCATCAGGTCTGGCCACAGCACCTTTGAGCATTCTGTGTATAGGTCTACTATTAATAGAAATTCTTTTGGGTACTAAGGAAGAAAATATGCAGCAAGCACGAGAGGAAGAAGAACGACGCAAAGAAGCAACAGCACATTTCCAAATTACTCTAAATGAGATCCAAGCCCAGCTGGAACAACATGACATACACAATGCCAAACTCCGACAAGAGAACATTGAACTGGGAGAGAAGCTGAAGAAGCTCATTGAGCAGTATGCACTGAGGGAAGAGGTAATAGTATTCAATTGGTTTAGACAGCTTCTCACTATTAGCAATAACTTCTCCATTCACTATTGTAGTAAAAGTATTGCCACAGGATGTTTTAGAACGTCCACCTTTGTGTAGCCAAAGGGGGGTTATTAATTAGGGAAAGGATTAAACCACTGCGCAAACATAAGGATTCAATACTAGTCCATCTGTATGAATAGGTGAGATAATTTCTAGGAGTCTAGGATTCAATACTAGTCCACCTGTATGAATAGATGAGATAATTTCTAGGAGTCTAATACTTGATGTGATACTACAAGGTGGCAATTCTCATGTAGATTGTCTTATCTAGAGTAATAATGAATAAATATTTGGCTCCAGAATGCCCTATATCTCAGACATCTGTGATAACCTATACAGTATCCCGTATTATTTCATATTGTCTGCATTTTAGGTTGGTTGGTTTATTGTTTTGAGATAGGAGTTTTGCCATGTTGCTCAGGACAGCTTCTAACTTGTGTGAGCTTAAATGGATCCTCTTGTCTCAACTTGCCACGTACCTGATCATAGGCATGTGTAAACTATGACCAGTTTTACATTTTAAAAAAATTAAAAGGTGCAAAAGAGATAGCTCAGAGGTTAAAGAACACTACTAGCTGCATCCACATAGTGGCTAACCCATCCTTAACTCCAGTTCCAGGGGATCTGGCACGCTCTTCTGGCCTCAGGGTGCCTAGGCTGTCTTGAAACTCCCTGTGTAGACCATGTTGACCAGGAACTCATGGCAAACCTCTTGCTTGTGCCTCCTGAATGCTAGGACTGCAGTGCAGGTGTGTCATCCACAATACCTAGCTTGTTTTTTCAGTCTTTAACTGTGACCTTGAACTATGTGTGTCTGAGTATAAGTTTATGTATGAGTGAAGTGTCCTCTGAAGCCAGAAGAGGACAGTATATCCTCCAGACCTGGAATTGCATATGATTGTGAGCCACTGAGAGCTGAACTCTTGGTTCTCTGTAAGAGCACTGTGCTTTTAACCACTTAGCTAGCTAGCTTACCCACCTCACCCATCCCTGTAGACTTGAACTCTTGATCTTAGCTCAGACCCAGTGCCAGGATTATAGGCATGCAAAAGCACACACAGCTTTTTTTAAATGAGAGCTTTATATTATGGAGAGAAAAATGAAAGAACCCCTTTACCATACACCCATTGGACGTTACAAGTTTACTGGAATGATCCGTGACTACTGAGTGTGGCCATTGGTTTCTAAATAAGACTTTTGCAGCTAATCTGGAAGTTAATGGGATGGTAGCCAAATAATTGGCACGTCTACTGCCTTTAAAGTTAGTAAATGGTATTTTCCTATATCTTGTGTACAAAGATTCAAATAGCTGATTAAAAAAATATATTGTGATGTCTGCGTCTATGTTACTTTATCTGGTTTTCAACTCAAGCCTTACATTAATCTACACTTTTTAATATATAGCCCTTTGAGAAGTTTTTGTTTAGCTTGCTCTTATTGTGCTTTTTCTTTTGTGTGGGGATGAAACCCAGGACACTGCAAATAGCGGGCAAACAAGCAGTATCGTCAGTGCTATATCGTCAGTGTATTTTCCTCTTTAAAAAAAATTTTAAGGGACTGGAGAAATGGTTCAGCAGAGGACCCAGGTTTGATTCCCAGCACCTACATGGTGGCTAACAACTGTCCATAATTCTGGTTCCAGAGGATCTATTCCCCTCTTCTGGCCTCTGGTGGGTACTGTACAACATGGGTGTACTTACATGCAGGCAAAATACTCATACACATAAAAGTAAATCCAAAAAAATTTTAAGGGAGCTAGAAAGATGGCTCAGTGGTTAAGAGCAGTAGCTGCTCTCACAGAGGACCCATGTTTGGTTCTCAGCACTCACATGGCAGTTAACAGCTGTATTTAACTCCAGTTTCAGGGATCCGACACCCTTTTGTGACCTCTGAGAGCATTACACACATGTGGGCCACTTGCAAACATGCAGGCAAAAATACTCATACACATAAAATAATTTCTTAAAAAATTATTTTAAAAAGGAATTCTGAGCCAGGTGTGGTGGTACACACCTCTAATCCACCATTCTGGAGGCAGAGGCAGGAGAAACAAAAAAGATCCAGAACCTTTCTCACAGATGAAGCCATAGTTGTTTAAAGACTTTTATTTTATGTGCATTTTTATGATTATGTATGTGTATGAGTGTATGCCATGAGTGTGTGGGTGACTATGGACGGCAGAAAAGGGTGCCAGAGCTGGAGTTACAGTTGGTTTTAAGCTGCCTGACATGGGTGCTGGCAACTGAACTCTGGTCCTATGAAAGCTAAAAGAATGAGCAGTTAAGTACTAATGACTCGAATGTTTCACCTTGTTTTCTTTTTTGCTTGTTTAGACAGGATCTTGCTATTCAGTCTTGGTTGGCTTGGGTTCTCATAGATATAGCCCAGGCTAGTCTAGAACTCAGCAATCCTCCTACTTGAGCTTCTCAAGTACTGGATTATAGGCAAACACCACCATGCCCAGCTAGTTCCTTCTTTATTTTAGTTTTTTTAAAGGTATGTGTGCAAGTGTGCTCACCCTTGGAGGCCAGAAGAGGGTATTGGAACCCCTAAAATAGGTGTTACAGGTTGTGAGCCACCCAACCTGATTGCTGAGAAGCAAACTCAGGTCCTCTGGAAGAACAGTAATGCTCTTAGTTGCTGAGCCATCTCTCCAGCCCCTAGTCACCTGTTATTAATTTTTAAAAATTTATTTTTATTTTATGCTTATGTGTTTTGGCTACATATATGTAAGTGCACCCATGTCGTACAATGCCCGAGGAGGTGAGAAGAGGGTGTTGAATTCTCTGGAAACTGGAGTTACAGGTGGTTGTTAGCTGCCAAGTGGGTGCTGGGAACAAAACTGTGGTCCTTTGTAAGAGCAGCCAGTGCTCTTAACTGCTGAGCTAGCTCTCCAGCCCCCATTCTCCTGTTTTTTTTGTTTTTCTTTTTTTTGTCTTTTTGAGACAGGGTCTCCCTGTAGTCCCAGCTGACCTGAACTCACTATGTAGACGAGGCTGGCCTTGAACTCAGAGAGATCTGCCTGCCTCTGCCTCTCAAGTGCTGGGACTAAAGACGTGCACCACCACGCCTGGCTCATTCTCCTGCTTTTAAAAAACAAAAAGGTACCACACATCTTTAATCACAGCACTCGGGAGGCAGAGGCAAGGAGATCTCTATGAGTCGAGGTTAACCTGGTCTATGTAGTGGTCTATGTAGTAAGTTCCAGGCCAGCTGTAGCTACAGGGAGACCCTGTCTCAAAAAAGACCAAAAAAGAAAATTAAGTAAATAAATAAAGGAGCTGGAAGTGGTTCAGTGGTTGAGAACACTTGTTTCTCTTCCAGAGTTAAATTCCCTGTCTGTAACTCCAGCTCCTGGGATGTTCTGATGCCTCCATGGGTACCTGTACTCATGTGCACATATACCCACAGAGACACATACACAAAATTATTAATAATAAAATCTGGCTGGACGTGGTGTAGTCCTAGCACTTGGGAGGCAGAGGCATGTGGATCTCTGAGTGCCAGTCCAGCTGTGGCTACAGGGAGATCCAGTCTCAGAAAGACCAAAATAAATAAATAAAATAAAATCTTAGCTGGGCATGGTGGTGTATGCTATTAATCCCAGAATTAGAGGCAGAGGCAGGCAGATCAGTGTAAGATCCAGGCCAGCCTGGTTTATATAGCAAGTTCCAGGTCAGTTGGGGTTATACGGAGACCCTGTCTCAAAAAACCAAAAAAGAAAATAAAATCCTTTTTCTTTTAATTTTATAAGTGTTATGCTTACATGTGTGTAAGTGCATCTGTGTCATGCAGTGCCTTTGGAGGACAGAAGAGGGCATTGGATCCCCTGGAACTGGTGTTACAGATGGTTGTTGGCTGCCATGTAGGTGGTGGAATTCAAAGCCAGGCTCTTGACCACTGAGCCCTCTCTCTAGCTCCAGAAAATAAAATCTTAAAAAAAGTCTGGGCCACAGTGCTCAGGAGGAAGAGGCACTTGAGTCTCTGAGTTTGAGGCCAGCTTGGTATACACAGCAAATTCTAGCCCAGCCAGGACTATAGTGAGACCTGTCTCAAGAAAAGTCTGAATAAGATCCAAATAAAGTCTATCCACTTTACTAGTATGTATGTCTCAAGTCTCTAATACATAGGATTGCTTGTTTCGTTCTTGCAGTGTTTAATAAAGAGGTTTTTTTGTCCTACATGTTAATGGGCTGTTTCTTCATAGATGTAGCAAATTAGAAAATCATGTGTTTAAGTCATATTACTTGTGATTACTATTATGACATGTTTTATCCTTGGTCAGGATGTAATAGTAATCAAATTACTCGTAGCTGAAGATAAAACATCTGCTGTGCTCTCAATACTCAGCCTACCTACTAGTGTTTCCCCTCTTGCATAGCATACTGTAACTGGAAGAGTCCTACTTCTCCAGTTCTCAGAAGACATGTTTTGATAACTTCAGTGTACATAAATAGCCACTTGTCAGTTTTCTTTGGAAATACAAGCTTTTACCAGATGTCTGTATGTGCCAGGCACCAAGCACCTTACATGGTTCCACCATTGTACTAGTTACCATGCCAGATGCTGCCACTGAGATTTAGCAGCACAGAAATTTGCCCAATGTCACACACCAGTTTGCTTTATCTCATCATTCAAGCTGTCACATACTGCTTCCAGTTGGGGAATTGGCAGAAATTTAATGGGTAGAAAAAGGAATGGCCAGAGAAATTGATGTGCATGATCTATGGATTTATTAGCTTGATTTCCTTCTTTTTCTTTATGTCATTTGACTTTCTCAGTTCAGGGCAGAAACAAGAATTACAAAGCTTGTGGTGTGGTGCCTGTCTCAAGTGGGGCTGCCTGGCCATAGAGCGGTGCTCCTGCCCGTGGTATCAGACAGTACCACTGGTGCAGGGACAGAGACCCAGTGTTCTTAGCTATGGTGGTATTCATAGGAAAGCAGGGCAAATAGGGTGTTGCAACTAGTGTTACATTTCCTCCCCAGTTGTCTTCCTTTATTCATGAAGTGATGGAAGGAATTTTACTTTTTTCCATAGCATATTGATAAAGTGTTCAAACATAAGGAACTGCAACAACAGCTTGTGGATGCCAAACTTCAGCAAACAACACAGCTGATAAAAGAAGCTGATGAAAAGCATCAGAGAGAAAGAGAGTTTGTAAGTTCTCCTTAAGATAAAAAAGCAACTAAGTATTGCCAAAACTGTAATCACAGGTCATTTTAAACATTTAAATTTGGCTGGGAGTGGTTGGTGCACACCTTTAGTCCCAGCCTGGTCTACACAGTGAGCTCCAGGCCAGCTGGGGCTACAGGGAAACCATGTCTCTAAAAGACCAAAAACAACAAAAAATAAATAAAATTGACATTTAATGTTGCCCCTGGTGTATGCTAATTGGTTATTAGCTCTAGAAGGTTTTTGGCTACTTCTATTTAACTTTTTATACAGAAAATGGACTATAGTGGTCAGGCCAAGATCTGTATTTTTTCTGTGCTTAGAAAATGTATTTTATGGGGCTGGAGAGATGGCTCAATGGGGAAGAGGGCTTCCTGTGCAAGCTTGAGGACCTGAGTCCTCATTCCAGAATCTACATACCTGGCACAGTGGCACACACCTATTAAGAATAGTACTTTGGGAGTCAGAGACCTGGGGGCTCCTAGGACTTCCTGGCCACCAGCCTAGCTCCAGGTACAGTGAGAGACCCTGTCTAAAGGGAGTAAGATGGAGAGTGATAGAGCAGGACAGCGGACAGACTCTTCTGGCTTGTGTGTGCCCATGTAAGTATGCACCCCACCCCCAGGGCAAAAATAAATTTTCATAGCATTGTGCTCAAGAATTGTGTTATATTCTTGGTTGGTTAATTGAATGAATCATCTCATTCTGTAGCCCAGGCTGGAGGATGACCTTGAACCTCCTGTTGTTCCTTCTTCCACCTTGCAAGTGTTGAGATTACAGGCATCTGCCCCAACACCCAGTTTATATGGGATAAGGAACTGAACCCATGGCTTTGGGCATGCTAGGCAAAAACCCTAGCAATTGAGCCACATCTCCAGCCCTCCGCCTGGCTTTTAAAAATGCTCAGCAACCTAGTTCTCTGATTTCATTGCTTTTTAGGTCTCATCTTGCCTCTCAGGGAGTAGAGGTACTTTCTCAGCCATGCAAATAATGTTGAGGTGCTTGCCTATGTTTTAGAAACGTGATTATTTTTACCTAAAACACTACCGTTTTATCCTGAAAGCATGTAAATGACAACTGATGGGAACAAAGTATTCCATCTGTAGGACAATGATTCTCGCTGAAATAGTGAGGATAGGCTTAATTGTATGGTACTTGACATTAAATTCGTATTTGTAATTACTATTAGTACTTTGCAAGAATGTTTCTGTTTTCTAGTTATTAAAAGAAGCAACAGAATCCAGGCACAAGTATGAACAAATGAAACAGCAAGAAGTACAACTAAAACAGCAGGTAACTTAATAGTTGGGGATAATAGATACATACATTCATGGTACATACCTTGAATCTCCTCTAAGGTAGTTTTGGTTGTTCCCAGTAAGAGCTGACCAAGGCTGAGGAATCACTCACATGCCTCTCCTTGGAAGTCTCTTCTTCATGTAGGGTGACCATCCATATTTGCTGAGATCCTCCATGGTTTTAATACTGAAAGACCTGTCTCTTAGAAGCTTCCCCCTGACTCCCACCCCAGTCTCAGGCCAACTGGGATTGTTAGGTATCTTTAGTGGCTCTTCTAAGATCTTACTTGTTCCAGTGCATTCTGTCATGTGTTACCTTATTTCCCACCAAAGTAAAAATAATAAATCTCCAGATTTAAAGAATGTTACAAAATGGCAATTTCATGTAGTTTTACTTATGTTTACAATTTTGTGCTATTAGTATTTAAACTGTTTTGAAACTGCTTATAACCACATAGTTCCTCTCCTGGGTAGTTTTATGGAAGTGTTTTTAGCCATGGCTTTCCCTCCCTTTTCATTACAGACTGTAGACATATCTTGTTAAAATCTCTGAAATGAGAGTAGTGGGTATCCTCTCCTTAACCTTAAGGTACAAGACTTTTTTTTCTGGTCTTTTTGAGATAGGGTCTTCCTGTAGCCCCAGTTGGCATGGAACTCACTATGTAGACCAGTCTGGCCTTCAACCCACAGAGATCCACCTGTCTCTGCCTCCTGAGTGCTCCAATTAAAAGCATGCACCACCATGCCTGGCCTTATTGGCCCTTTTTTAATCAATTACACTCTATTGAAAAAAATTTATTTTGAAAGTTTATTACAAGTATCTTTAATGTAAGATTAAATTAGTTCTAAAATACACTAATACAGTAAAACTGCCATGACTCTAATAGAACCTCTTTTAGGTGCTAGTTTTTGGGTTGGGTGGGCATCACACAGTGTTGGTATTTAAAGCTAGCATAATTTAAGAGTAAAAATTTAAGAGGTAGGAGCCGGGCGTGGTGGTGCACACCTTTAATCCCAGCACTCTGGAGGCAGAGGCAGGCGGATCTCTGTGGGTTCAAGGCCAGCCTGGTCTACATAGTGAGTTCCAGGACAGCTGAGGCTACAGAGAGACCCTGTCTCAAAAAGACCAATAAATAAATAAATAAATAAATATATTAAATAAAACCCCACAAAACAAAATTTAAGAGGTATCATGTCAGAAATCTCTGAACTTTCAACATAAGTTATGCTCATGCCAGAAGGCTGGTAGGAACCAGTTACTTGTCAGTCGTGTACATTGTTCTGCTAAAAGTATTCAACTTGAGCACCACCAATGACCCTAACTCCAGGCTGCCAGCCTCACATGCACTGTCAGGGTGCTCCTCCTCCATTGGCTGTTGCTCAATCATCTGTATTCTTCTGCATCTCACTTCCTATTTTCTTTCTTCTGAGGCCATCCCTCACTTCTCTACAGATGGTGCTTCTTCATCTTTTTTGGAATATGGGTGGGGGAGGGTCCGTTTCAGAGGATGTCAGGGAGGCTGACGTGGGGATAATTGCTTGAGGGGGAACTGGAGTTTTACTCTCCAAAGAACTTTAGTATGGACAAGTCGACTCTCCCTTTTTTGTTTTGGCTTTTTGATGCAAGGTCTCACTGTGTAGCCCTGGCTAGCCTGGAACTCGTTCTGTAGACCAGGCTGGCCTCAAACTCAGAGATCCGCCTATGTCTGCCTCCCAAGTGCTGGGATCAAAGGCGTGTGCCACCATGCCCGGCCCTTGTTCCCCATCTTCTAGTAAGCTCTTTTGTTTAGGCTAATGAAATTGGGATGGGACTTTCAGTCTGATGCTTTCTACAACAGTGCCTGTTCCATGTGCTTCCCCTATGGCCTACCACCCAGTAACTGTGGGTGTGCTGCCTTGCATATTTTACCCACCTACCCCCATCTTGTTGAATGATATTTAATATTCCTTTTATAGCACTGGTAATGGGATTCTTGTTCATTACTTGGGACTGAACCTATGGCCTTGCACATTCTAGGCAAGCACTCTACCACTAAGCTATATCCTCTGTTTTCCTTATGTCTTTTATTTTAAGTTAAAAAAAATTTCTAGCCCGGTGCGGTGGCACAGGCCTTTAATTCCAGCACTCAGGAAGCAGAGGCAAAGGTAGGTGGGTCTCTGTGAGTTTAAGACCAGCCTGGTCTACATAGTGAGTTCCAGACCAGCTGGAGTTACAGGAAGACCCTGTCTCAAAAGACCAAAAAAAAAAAAAAAAAAAAAAAACCCCAAAAAAACTTTACATCTATGAATGTTTTTCTTGCATGTCCAGGCTTCTCCCACTTTTCATTTTTTCTTCTGACCCTCACACTGTACCCTCTTCTCTGAATTGTTATTCTAAGGGTGACTATGTTTATATTCTTCATGTCCTCCCCTCCTTTCCCCTTAACTATCCTTCTATTGAATAGTTTCTCCCCAACCAAATGAGTTTTTTGGCTTGCTACACTTTGCCTATACTGAAGTTATCCTTGATACCACCAAGCTAAGAACTATGCAGGTGGTGTTCTTAAAGGTACCTCCACCAAAAAAAAAAAAGTTTTCAAATGTAAGCAAAGGGAATGAATGCTTCCAAGCATTTAACATTTGCAGGTGTATGAAATTCATAACTACCACATCCTTTGAGTTTTATTATAATTAGTTGGGCAGGGCTAATGTTTCCATTTTAAGTATATGTTAGCAACAAAAATCTTCCTAAGTATCAGTATGTTAGTACTTCAGTGATGTGTCTGCTATGAAGAGACTGGTATGCATTTATTTGCTCTTTTTTTGTAATTTTATTTATGTGTATGCATGTATTGCCTGCATGTAGGTAAGTGCATCCATGCCATGCAATGCCCACGGGGGTCAGAAGAGGCTGTCAGATCCCCTGGGACTGGAGTTACGTACAGTTGTTAGCTGCCATGTGGGTGCTGGGATTCGAACCCGGGTCTTCTGCAAGAACAACCAGTGTTCTTAACCGTTCCGAGCCATCTCTCCAGCCCCAGCTCTTCTTCATTTTAACGGTATTGTGTTGGAAGTTTAGGACTCTGCATTGTTTACCTGGAAGTTGGAATAATCTATTTTCTTCTTTTTCTGTAGCTTTCTCTTTATATGGATAAGTTTGAAGAATTCCAGACTACTATGGCAAAAAGCAATGAACTGTTTACAACCTTCAGGCAGGAAATGGAAAAGGTATTTGTATATTTTTAGTAGACTGCAAAACAAAAAAGACCTTATATAAGCTCCTTAAAGCATGATTACTACTTGGGTGAGTTTGAGACTCTTCAATCATCTTGCCACAACTAGGCCATGAATTCTATGATACTAGAATTCTGCCTCTTTTTTTTTGGTCTTTTTGAAGCAGGGTCTCCCTGTAGCCCCAGCTGTCCTGGAACTATGTAGACCAGGCTGGCCTTGAACTCACAGAGATCCACCTGCCTCTGCCTCCCAAGTGCCGGGACTACAGGCGTGCACCACCATGCCTGGCAGAATTCTGCCTTAACAATAAATTCTATTAGGTCTCCCCCCAAGATCTCCTTGTAGTCTCAGTCGGACCAGAGAGCTCTTTGTTTCTGCCTCTCCAGTGCTGGCTTAGTTTTTTTTCTTCCCCCTTTTTGCAATAATTGTCTAGGCTTTAAAATCTTTTTTTTTTTGAAACAGGGTTTCCCAGAAGCCCCAGCTGTCCTGGAACTCACTATGTAGATCAGGCTGTCCTTGAACTCACAGAAATCCACCTGCCTCTGCCTCCCAAGTGCTGGGACTACAGACGTGCACCACCACCTCTGGCTTAAAATCTTTCAATACAGGTAAACACTTTTTTGAAAGATACCAGACTAAGAAGCAAAATGATATCCATCCATCCAGTCCCTTCCTCTTTTAAAAAGATGGGATCTCATGCCAGCCCAGGCTGGGGTAACTTGAGCATGACCTGAACTTGTTATCTGATCCTCTATTTGTTTGCACCACCAACATTCAGTTATTTTTATTTTTTGAGAGGCTGGCCTCAAATTCCAGGATTTAAGCAGCCCTTTTGCCTCACAGGTAGCTGTGGCTACAGGTACACACCACCATACTGGACAAACTTGAAAATTTTTGTTAAAATTATTTTCCTGCCTGTATATATGCAATGCCTGCAAAAGCCAGAAGATGGCACCAGGTCTCCTGAAACTGCATGTACATATGATTGTGAGCCACCTTGGGAGTAAGGGAACAGAACTCAGGTCCTCTGCAAGACCAGCAACTGCTCTAACCACTGAGCAATCTCTCCAGCCCATTTTACTATGTAGACCAGGCTGGCCTTGATCCCACAGCCATCCCCCTGCCTCTGCCCTCCTGAGTGCTGGGATTAAAGGTGTGAGCCACCATGCCTGGCAAAGTGGACAGATTTTAAAAGTGAGAAGTACTGCAGTGTATGGTGTTAGACACATAGTGTGAGGGTACATGTTCTGGGTTATTGTCTCAGTTGCATTGTAGTTATTTATAAATGTGTGTATGTGGTTGTGGGGCTGGAGAGATGGTTCAGCAATTAAAAGGTGCTTCCTCCTTTTCCAGAAGACCTGAATTTGGTTCCCAATACCTATATTGGGTGGTTCACAACCACTTCTTATTCCAGCTCCAGATCTGACTCCCTCTTCTGATTTCTGCTTCATGTGCACAAGCTCCTACACAGACACATACATATTAATTAAAAAAAATAGATCTCTAAAAAAATATAATTGTGAACAAATGTTTTTGGCTTCCTTTTTTCTTATTTGTAGTGTGTATGTCAGAAGACAACTTGTTTGAGTTGGTTCACTTCTTCTACCATGTGGGTTCTAGAGATCAAATTCATCAGTCTCGGAGCCAAACATTTTTACCTGCCAAGCCATCACAGCAGCTCTTTTACTTTTATGTGTGTGTGTCTGTGAGTGAGTCTGTGAGGAAGGAAGGAGGGAGGGAGAGAGAGAGAGAGAGACTCTCTGTAACCCTAGCTGGTCTTGATCAGCCTGTTTCTGCCTCCCATATGCAAGGACTAAAAAGCCTATGGCACCAGGTCCAGCACCCTCTTGCTTTGTTTATTTCTTTTTTTGAGACAAGGTTTCCCTGTGTAGCCCGTTTTCCTGGAACTATATAAAACAAGGCTGGCCTTGATCTCAGAGATCCACCTGTCTCCACCTCTTGAGTGATGCAACTAATGCGCCACCATGCCCAGCAGTTCCTGTTTAAGAAGGCCTTTCTTTTTTCAAAAGACCAGCTCACTTCTGATAATATTAGGAACATTAAACATGCTCAATTAACATGAGCTAAACAGTGCTCAAATTACCACCTTCAAGTACTTTTAGACCTAGTAATCTGGAGAATTCATGAGCAGCAGATCTCTGCCTACCAGTTCTTTCTTTGAGTTGATAATCCAATCAAGGGGCAACGGTTAGGTTAGGTAGAGTATTAACTCCAGCACATGCTCACTGTTGAAGTGGAACACAGTTCAACACTGGAGTCCCCAAATTTGCTATCCTCATGGAGAAATCTGTGGGATGGAAAAAGATCACAGATCACAGTGGGTCAACACTCAGATCTTCCATGAGCCTTTGTCCTAGTTTGTCTTAGATACAGCACAGGGCATTGGCTCAGACTTGTTTCTCTTGACAACACCTGGCTCAGTGTCCTGATTTGAATCATAGCTGATATGCAATAAACACAGTGAACAAAGAAATACTGAGTATATGGCTAATTGATATTCACAGGCATAGGTCAATCTCATTCTCAATTTCTGAGAACTAGCTTCTTGTAGCTGAAGTTTAAGAATGTTCCTGGGTTGGAGAGAGAGCACAGTGGTTAAGAGCACTTATTGCTCTTACAGAGGACCCGGGTTCGATTCCCAGCACCCACAAGGTGGCTAAGAACCATCCTTAACTCCAGTTCCAGGTGAATCCAATGCCCTCTTCAGACCTCCACGTCATTGCACTACACGGGTGCACCCACATACATGCAGGCAATACACTGCTACACATAATATAAAAACAATAAAAAAAAAGTTCTTTTGGTCTTATTTTATACTATCTGGGTTGTGGGGTTTTTTTTTGTTTTTCTTTTTGTCTTTTTGCGACAGGGTCGCCCTGTAGCTGGCACTGAACTCACAGAGATCAGCCTGTGCTGGAATTAAAGGCATGCAGCACCACACCTGGCCTACTTTACTATCTTTAGCAAAACTGGAGGTAAAAAGTCTTGAGTTGTGAGAACTGAAGCTTAAAGTTTAACTTTACTTTTTTCCCTGGTGTCTTTCCTAAATTATGCCACCTCTAGTTCTGAAATGATTTAAAGTTGTGGCTCTGAAAATCTTACTAAGGAATTGGTTTAATAGGCATTTTGTTTTACACAACGTGGAGAGAAAGAGGTGCTGTTATTAGATAGAATGAAAGCACTCTAGCACTGAGTGGAATGTGCTGCTGCCTCTCTAAAACTGCCGTTGTACTTTTTTTGAATATGAACTTCCCACTTTGGTTTTGCCCCAGGAGCTTTGCTACTAAAAGACAGACACAGCTTCTTTTATAAAGGAACATGCATGCAGCTGACAGCTGAGTGAGCCAGATGCAGTGATGGGAGGGGGCAACATTAAAACTTGTGGTAGGACAGGGAGTAGAGAGAAGAAATGCAATTTGTGATTCTAAAATTGCAATTATTTTGATTCACAGATGACAAAGAAAATTAAAAAACTGGAAAAAGAAACAATAATATGGCGCACCAAGTGGGAAAACAATAACAAAGCACTTTTGCAGATGGCTGAAGAGGTAAGATGGTCTCCAGAGATTAGAGTGTGGTGTTGGTTATCTTACCTGGGGTATAGGACATATGTTGGGTCACTTTGACTGTTGAATGGACTGTGATTTTTTCCCTGGCAGTATGAGCCTCTTAGCATCCAGTTAATTCACCTAGGCTTGTGTTGGAGACAAGAATTTCTAACAAGAATCTGAGATGCTCATGCACGGAGTTGAGGCCTATGGGAGCATTTATTGTATTTCCTATTATGACTGCAAGCAAAACACCTCATGCCTTCTGCCTGGATGTAGTCTTTTCAGAAAAAAAAGCAACAAAATTGTTTTGGGCAGTGTAAGGTGAATTGTATTGCTTACAGTCAGTCACTAAACTTCTAAAAAAAATCTAGAAACATTTTTAAAATCAAGCTCTTTTCTGAAGTCTGAGAAATAGCTTCAATTTCTTACCAAGTTTAAGAGATTTTGTCTTTTTTAAAAATGGACAGTGAATTTAGTTTTGTTTCCCTTTATGTTAATATTGTTCCTATCTACACTCTGGACACATGCGTCAAGACATGCGTAATAGACAATAACACAGGTAGTTTCCAGTGTGGTTGAGCTCAGTTATTTTGCATATACAGTACCCAATTTGAATTTAATGAGGTGTTGTCTTTTCTGTTTTTTAAACAGAAAACTGTCCGTGATAAAGAGTACAAAGCCTTTCAAATAAAACTGGAAAGGTTAGAGAAGCTGTGCAGGGCTCTTCAGATGGAAAGAAATGAGCTCAACGAGAAGGTTGAAGTCCTCAAAGAGCGGGTCTCTAGCAAAGTAGCAGATGGGAACTTGCGGCGGCAGCCCTGTGCTGCCCTGGATTCCTTCAAGCAGCTAAACACTTCAAGAAGAGCCCTGGGAATGCACCTGGATGCCAAGGCCAAGGCCAAGGCCAAGGCCAAGGCAGTGAATGAGAGAAGAAACGCTGCACAAAAGCCCCAGTCCCCAGGTTCTGCTCAGGGCATTGAGTCAGTTGACTAGGCTATGAAGTGTGATCACTGTATTGAGAGATATATTTTGTGTATAACTTCCTCTGTTAGTAGTAACTATTGGTTTTGTGGTGAAAATTTTCTTACTTTTTCTACCATATCTGTATTTTCTTAGAACTACTGGACTTATGTGGTACAGGAGGCTGCTTAGCAGTTTGGAATAGTTTTAATCTATACATTTCCCTCAATTGTGTTGCACATCTGCCTCATTTTCCCCCTTCATTGGAGTGCATGTGTGTTCATTGCCTTGTCCTTTCCCTTTCCTGCTCCTTGCACATAACTTTCCTAACTAAAATGCCACTCAAGACAGAGCCATTACAAGGGAACTCTGTTCTCCTGATGGTTCCTTGGTGTGAGAACTATTAAAGCATCAAAGAAAATACTAAGATGATTACTTTTGTGTAATAGCCCGTTTAAATGCCAAGAAAAAATAAAACTATAGTAATCCCATCAGAAACAAACATAGCATTTTTCCATTTAAATTACCTTTCTTGATTCACTTGAGAGATTGAGACTACATCCTTGCCCAGTTCAAATTCTGGCAAAATATAAAGATGTCACTTGTAAACAAAATGGTATGTACAGACATAGTATTGGAAAACAGGCTTAACGTTTAAGTGACTAAGAATAGTCATACTATGCTGGTTTCAGGCTAGAACATACAACATAAGAAATTTGGACCTCTCCTGATGATCACTGTAGAGGATGAAGGTGGCTTATGTTTCCATCAATTTGGGTACATATTCTCCATTTCTCACAAAAGCCGATTGATTATTCTTTGAAAACTGCCATTAATTGCATTCCCTTGTGAGTTCAAGACGAGGGCAAATCATGTGTCGCTTCTGCCAGGGAAAAGTTCCTCTGCTACCCTCTGGCTAGGTGAAAATTGGTGTTCCTTTGCTCCACAGGAGTGTCACAGGGCTGTGGATGTAGTCGAGTGTTAAGCACTGGCCTAGCATATATGAGGCCCTGCGTTACAAGTCTCATCAGTAAAGAACAACAGTTTTTTTTATTTCCTGAAAGAGAATTTAAACTATGGATCAGCACTAAACCGAAACATTCAAGTTCCAAAGTAAAAACACTGGAACCAGCATTTTTTACCTTGGGAAAGCTTGGCAGATTGTTTACGTAGTAAAACCTATAACTTAATGCTTTTGAGTTTGTTTCTCCTTTGATACTGCCTTTAAAAAAAATAAAAACAGTATTATTTAGGTCCTCTAGCCTTTGAATTGGAGAGATTTTGAAATTAAGCATGTAACATCTGACTTGTTTCTTTGCCTTCTTAAATGTCAAATGTGGCTCAGTTATGCAAACAAGGTCTTTACTACTATCCCTGGTATTATTTGTATTGAAATGCTTTATGAAATTTTAAAAAACAGGGTCCTAGTAGACCTGATGCAGCATTCCACTAAGCAAAACAGTCAGACTGACACTGGACTGAATAAGCTCCATTTCTCTTTGTTAAAAGTAAAGTCCTGTCATAATTCATGCTCTAAACTGGGTGGAAAATTATCCAATAGATATTAAACAGTACGCAGAGCAGAGGATTACATCTTTCCAAACTTTCACCATCAGTCATGTTAATTAAGGGGATGTTATCTAATTACTGTTAAAATGAGCCAGAAACAAAGAGAATACCCTCCTCCTTTAGCTACTAAATACTGGACTCACTTCCCCTGAGAAAATGAGGGTAGATATCAGAAATATAATCTACTTTGAAATTAGTACTAATGATTTCCTAAGTCTACTGGATACACCGCTCTTAACATTTTATCAAGCCATGTGTGTAGCTCACCACATTTTTTTGTGGTGCTTGTCCTATGTGGAAGACTTGTAAATCTTGGACCTGATGCCTATTTTCAAGGGCTTTATAAAGCAATGTGATTAAGAGTACTTGGCCTGCTGCTTTTGGCTTACATGCATTTTTAGCTAGATGTTTGGAGGACATGGATTCTGTCTGGGATGCAGCATTCAGAATCTATCCTCCCATTACCCTGTGAATAAAAACAAATGGGACCTCTAAGGGAACCCTCCCCCATAAAGTGATCACCTCACCAGCCCAGTGTTGTGGCTTTGTAGCACGCCCTGTATCTACCATATTCTAGAACACTGTATTGCTACTAGGCTGGCCCAGAAAAGGTTTAAATGTTGAGTTCACTTATATTGCATTTGGTGTACCACCATGCAATCTTGATGTTATTATTTATAGTGGCAGTAGACCCCAAAGTGTAGTGAAAACTTGGGTCTTGGCTATCGGACCATTTCATCCTCAGACTTGTAGGAGTACATTTCTTGGTCTTGAGACCAGTATTTTTTTAGTTATGTATGCAACTGCCTTTATTACACACCTGGTTATCACAATTCAATTCTCAGGTGTTGCAGAAAAATCTACCTCTTTCAGACTGTAGATGGAAATAACTGTGAAAAAAAAATGCAGATATCTTCTAGTTTGTGCTAAACACACTGCTTTATTTTTACAGCCCACGTCTTTCATGAGGATATGAATTGTTAAGAGGCAGTTTTGTTTTGCTTTTCAAAGACATTTTGTAGAGATTTTTCACTAATGTGAATCTGATTTTATCTACTCGATTCTGTATAGATTAAGTAAATATGTATGATGAATTTAACTGTGTCTGTGTATTCTTTTGTTGGCAAGATGGCTTTAATTGTGTACCAATCTGAAGGAACAATTTTACCTATTTCTACCCAAGAAAGGAGATATGGGCATGCACGCACACACATCCACCCTTCCCCAGCTTCTAAAAGAACAGAACAACTTTTATTTTAAAACTTTATTTCTGCAAAGCCAATCAAGAAGTGTTGGAAGGAAAAAGTGTAAAAGTTATCCTTGCATATTTGGGAACTTGAGCAAGCACTTAAGTTTTCAAAACAGTTGAATCAAAGGCAGTACCCTGCAACTCATATTTTTAAACAATAGTGATGTCCTTTCTTAAGCAACATTCCATTTTTCCCTAATAGCTACAATATGATACAGTACGCAACAGCTCACTTGAAAGTGCTAGAATCAGAGGGTAAAGAATGCCAGAAGCCATCCCACTTATGTTTCCTACTATACAATGCCTTTTTGGCGCTTGATAAATCAAGCATTGATGTAGCAATACATTCAATAGAAACATCTCATACTTTGGGTTTAAGATCCTTGTCCCTCCAGTTCCGATGTTGTGACATCTGACTCTTCATCATTGTAAATATTTTCAGCCTGGAAATAACCATATAAATTCACAGGTAAAACTACCCAAGGTTTTCAAAAAATCATCTAAAGACAGAATTTAAATCTGAATCCATATTTTAATTTTTTTAAGTAATTTTTGCCCTTTCCACCCAAAATTTCAATAAGGAAAAGGCATGTCAGTACTCTTAGTCTCATGCTCAACTTAGTCACTGTTCATAAAAGGTATTTTCTGGAAAGTGCTTAAAGCATCAGAGGCAGCAATGGTTAACAATTTAGCATACTCAGTGTTCCTTATCAGAGAATTCAGCACCACTTGAACACTGACATTTTCCTCCCATATCTTTCATGTGTACAACAGTACACAGGCACTGGTGACAGAACAGTTGTGCATACATGTTTATATGAATATGGTTAGGTTTCTCCAACACAACAGGTGCTACTGATAATGGACAAAACCTTACTAAGTTGTTGATTTCTCTTTCTTTTTTTTTGAGACAAGAGTCTAGCCCCAGTTGGCTTTAATAAACTCATATATCCACCTGCCTCTTCTTCCTGAGTGCTGGAATTAAGGGTATGTGCTACCAATGCCCTCTTTTTAAAATATTACTGTTGGTGGGGGAAAGTGTGCCACAGCACATGTGTGGAGGTCAGGGGACAACTTTGTGGAATCAGTTTTCTCCTTTCACCTTTCTGTGGGTTTGGGGGATTGAACTCAGGTTGGGTTCATGCTGAGCCATCTCCCAGGCTCAGAAAAGGTTTCTTTAAACTGTTTTCGGCACTATAACTTTAATATTCACCTAAATATTCTTATTATGCTATATCACTAGTGAAACCATTACAAGATAGTTATTAAAAATAATTCAATGGTGCTGGAGAGATGGCTCAGCAGTTAAGAACACTGGTTGTTCTTGCAGAAGACCTGAGTTTGAATCCCAGCACCCACATGGCAGCTAACAACTGTCCGTAACTCCAGTCCCAGAGGATCCGACAATCTCTTCTGACCTCCTCGGGCACTGCACGACACGGGTGCACTTACCTACAAGCAGGCAATACACACATACACGTAAAATTAAAAAAAAAAAATTTAAAAAAAGTTCAACTTACCATTTGCCAAATCTGCATGATGTTATCTTCAGACACGGAGCAAATGACCCAAGGCTCATTGGGATTCCAACTGAAGTCTGAAATCTTGGCAGTATGTCCTCCATGAATAAACTGTCAGTAAGAGCAAAAGCCTTGGTTTCATAGCCTTTCCTAAACTATTTCTAAAATAGTTTCTAAAATACCAAGTTTTGAGGAACCTACCCCCAATTTGGAGGTACAGTGATAAAGGCTCTGTAATCTCTCACCTCTAGCATTTTGAAAGCTTTGAAACTTTCAGAAAAGGGGCTAGACTACCATAGTGATCACCTGTATAGTCTACCTACATTCACCAAATACTATTTTGTTAATGTGTTCTGTCCACATGTACCCACACATTCAAATGGCTCAGCAGGTTATGTGTCTTAAGGTACAGATAGAACATCTCACCCTAAGTTCTCTGGCTTGTGCCCATAAGAACATCTTCCTACATAACCATGATGCCATTTTCAAACTGAGTAAAATAGCTATTAACCTAGCATTAGTGGCTCATGTACAATTAGGTGAAAAACATCCAAAGTGCTACATGTTTTCAACTTGTCTAGTCACGAACTTTTTCATCAGCCTGCCTGAGCAATCTCCAGGTTCTTCACCAGCCCCCTTTCATACTACCATTCTTTTTTTTTTCTTTTTGAGACAGGGTCTCTCTGTAGTCCCAGCTGACCTGGAACTCACTACGTAGACCAGGCTGGCCACGAAGTCAAGAGATCCACTTGCCTCTGCCTCCCAAGTGCTGGGATTAAAGGCGTGGTGCCATCGTGCCTGGCTCTTCTTTCTTAAAAATTTAAAAATATTTTTTTATGTGTATGAATGTATTGCCTGCATGTAGGGTAGGTGCACCCAACATTGTGCGGTGCCCATGGAGGTCAGAAGAGGTCATCAGATCCCCTGGAACTGGAGTTATGGACCATTGTTAGCTGCCATGTAGGTCCTAGGAACCTAACCTGTCTTCTGCAAGATCAGCCAGTGCTCTTAACAGCTGAGTAGTCTTTTCAGCCCCCTTTCTCCTTCTTCCTTCATCTTCCCAAAGTACGTATGACTCACGGTGAAAAGGTGGGACTCTAGATCCAGACAATACTGCTTAAGGCCCAAGACCACAGAACTTTCCTAAGAAATGCTAAAGGAATCGACTACAGGAGACTATGTGTGTTATATACTTCAAATTAGGATTTAGAGGAAGTTTTCTGGAAAGACAAAAACATCAGTACATTGTTATGAACTAGAAAGTGACACTTTCTGACAAAGTTTTTTGACAGTGAATTCTCTGTCAGGTAGGTTACACTTGATCTAAACAAAATGCCTCTGGTGACTTTCAGTTTAAAAACTGTGAGATGAGCCGGGCATGGTGGTACACATCCTTAATCCCAGCACTTGGAACCAGAGGCAAGTATAATTCGAGGATAGCCTGGTTTACCAAGTGATACTGTCTCAAAACAAACAAGGAGAACAAAATATATCCCAAAACTGAGATGGTAAACAGTATTTAAAATACACCTGTCTGAGACAGGTTCTCCTTCTGTAGCCTTCGGTACTAGGATTTCCAAACCACAAATGAAAAATATCTTAGGGCTATTGGCTAGGAATATACTGGAGTTAAGGAAGCAAGATACTTTTATATAATAAAATTATATAATTTACTATTCCTAAATGCCCCTTCAGGCTTTCTTGTGAATACAGCAAAATTCTGAATTTTTTCTTAAAAAAAGATTTTAACTATGTGTCCATGTGTGGATATGTGTACACAAATGCAATGCCATGGAGGCCAGAAGCATGGAACACACCTACAGCTAGAGTGTACAAGGAGTTAGGAGCTACTACCAACATGGGTGCTGGGATTCAAACTTGAGTCCCTCTGCAAGTATGCACTCTTAACTGCTGTGCCATCTCTCTAGCCTGCTAGTGGATTTTCTTAAGGATTATAAAACTGTTACAGAGCCATAGTGTACAGACAAAAATAACTGGAGACAAAGGCCTTTCTGAAGACATAAGAAGCTCACAAGTAGAACCCTCCTCCCCCTCTTTGACAAGGTCCCCTATGTAGCCTAGCCCCAAACCTATGACCTTCCCGCTTGAAGATCCTAAGTGGAAGGATTATTCTTTAAGCAACAGTGGTATGAAGACTGAATCTGCTTGTCTGTCTGAGGCGCTTGTCACCCTTTTGTTAATTTCTGGCTGAAGGTGCTGGGCATGGGTGTCCACTGGCTAACGAGCGTAGGCAACGTGGGACTTTGTGAATTTTTGTGTCTTGTGCTTACTCTCAAAATGTTTTCTTTTACACTTTAAAATTTGTGGGTGAAGTACAAGTGTGAGAACAATTAATACATAAAATTAAATAACACATGCTTACAGAGTGATGATTACCTGCCAAATGACTGAAGATAACTGCTGAATTCAGAAAAGGGACAAAGAACCACTGCATACTGGGGAATGCTTCATAGAAAAGTGCCTTGAGGGGACTGGAGAGATGGCTCAGCGGATAAGAGCACTGACTGCTCTTGTAGAGGACCTGGGTTCGATTCTCAGCACCTACATGGTGGCTACAAACCATCTTTAACTCCAGTTCCAGGGGAATCTGAAGCCCTCTTTTGACCTCCGAGGCACTGCACGACAGGGGTGTGCTCACACACATGCAGGCAATACACTCATACACATAAAATAAAATGATAAAGTATTTTAAAAAGTACCTTGAACTTGGCAAATCAAGTCCTTACAAGTTCTCCCTACTGTTACTAAAAACCTACTGGACTCCATTTACTATTTTCAATAAATGTCATTGCCTAATCAAAATAACCTCCAGGCCCTCCATTTTGAAATCTTTGGCAAGAGCTAGACTTTGAAGCTTTGACACATTTTTGAAATAAATGAATCAATGAGAAATAATCCAGTGTGCACATAGTATTTCATCTTGCAAAAGTAAGCTGATGCATACCAGGAGTTCTGGAGGCCCATCTTCCGCATCTTCTGCTGATTGTTCTTCTCCAATTTTACTGTTTAGAAAAAACGAAGCTTTCGTTAACGAAAATTCTTGTAGTATGACGTATGCGAAACCATTATCAGCCCATAGTTTATTTTAAAATATATACCTATTGCAAAAGCAGTTCTGTATAATTAAGATTTTATATTAGCATATTTGATGGGAGGGTGGGTTGTTTACTTCCTGAAAATGGGTTACATCTACTCTTAACTGAAGCTGCAAAATGAAGAAATGCTGCTCACAATAAACAACTTAAAATTTCTTCAATTTTCTTTTTGGTCTTTTTGAGACAGGGTCTCCCTGTAGCCCCAGCTGGCCTAGAACTCTCTATGTAGACCAGGCTGGCCTCAGACTCGAGATTCGCCTTCCTCTACCTCCCCAGTTCTGGGATTAAAGGCATGCACCACCATGCCCTGCTAAATTTCTTCGATATTTCAACTATGGTATTTAATACATTAAAATTAAAAGGAAAATGCACACACAAATGTACACAGGAACTAATGTGCAGCCTCTATACTCCTCCTGAAGTTCTGCATTCCAGAAGTGAAATCCAATTACACATCAGTAATACAGATCTGTCTAA